CCTTCTTGGAGGCGGCTTTGCTGTCCTCCTAACGCCGCGGCCAGAGCTGCCTGGACAGCCCACAATGCTGGCCAGACAGACCCCCGGGTCCCGCTCCCTTTCCAGCAACCCTTTCTGGAAGTGGGTGTGCAGTCCCGATGCCCTTCCGCGGAGGAGGGACGTCTCCCCAGGTGGCTGCCCTCCCCAGAGACAAACCTGCTAGTAGGACATCGTCCCATCTTACCCTTCTCCCCTCGAGCTCCTGTGAACCAGCCTGACTGAGTGCGCATCTCTCCGTCCCTCCACCTCCCCAAGCAGCAGGTGGGATGGCGGGCGACCTGACCTGGGGGAGTTTCTGGGGTCTCTGAAGGGCCCGGTGCACAGTACTCCTCCCTGCTCGGTCGGAGAAGATGAGAACTGAGGCCTCACCTTAGTCCTCCGGAAAATCTCGGGTGGGCTGTGCAGCTCGGCAGGAGGGCCAGGCCCAGAGCGCCCCAGAGCCATGGAACGGTCGTCCCGGCCCTGGGATGCCGGACAAGGCAGGCTGCTTCGTGTGGGGCGAGGGGGGCAGCCCTGAAGGACAAGAGAGAAACCGGCCCCCTTCCCAAGGTGGGGGCTGGGTGGGGCGAACCAGGTACTGGCCCCAGATTATCGGATCAGTCAAGGCGGGCAAAGCAGAGCTGGAGTCATGTTAATGGAGTCCGTCCTCGGGGACAGGAGCAGTGAGGATTCCTGCCTTCTCCCTTCCCTGCTAAGCATCGTCCTTGAGACGGTCCTGACATGCATCCACGGTCCATCCTTCCACCCACCCGTCCACCCGTCCGTCCACCCACAAACCCACCCACCATCCACCCATACATCGTCCATCCATCTACCTGCCCCATCTATCCGCCCATCCAACCATCTACCCGTCCACCCACCCGCTCATGCCTCCCTTCAGCCCTTCATCCCCTCATTTCCGGTGGATCTTCCATGGCACACGGGGAAGGTCATCACCGAGTGCCAGGACACTTCTTCAGATATGTCCTCACAGCAGCTGGAAACTTGGGGCTGGGGAGTCTGGTGTCTGAGAACTTTAGAATCAGGCCGGAGCGGCCCCCATGGGGCCCCGGTGGCCAGTGTGGCCGGAGCAAGTTCCTGCTTCCTGAATTTTCCTGCCCTGAGGTACAAAGTGGGTGACGTCCCGATTCCGCCGTCCCTAAGTCAGGGGCAGTGCTTGCTGCGCGCTTCTCGGGCCGTCACTGAGCAGCGGCGCGACCCCGAGGGGCAGGCCGCCTCCGGAGCCCGCCGCTGCCCGCAGGCCGCAGAGCCCAGAGGACGGCGCTGCGAGGAGCCCACCTGCGGTGGCCGGTGCCTCCCCGAGCCTCCCCGGACGGGGCTGTGCAGGGATGCGGGGGCTCCATCGACGGCCCCTTCTCCCCTGCGTGTCTCCAAGGGAACCGTATCCCTCAGGTTACCAGGTGTGCCAGGACCTCCCGAACCCACATGGCGAGTTTGCGGGCTTGTGGGCGTGGGTCAGGGGTGAGTGAGTCAGGACCACGTGGACGGACGCTGGTCCGGATTTCCAGAAACTTTCTGGAGGTTTTAAGGAGCTGTGACCCCCTCTTTACCCACATGTGCATTCCTCTCATGTCAGCCCTTGGGGGCTCGGCCCCCCTCACCCGAGCCGTAGGCACCCTCGCCCCCCTCATTCCAGGCCTGCCCTTGCCCCCCACATAGCCCGGCTTCTTCAGACCAGGCCCGAGGGCTTCGGCTGGTTTCAGCTCCCTGCAGTTCAGTGTTGATCTGGTTCGTGTCGGTCACGTGTCCCCTCAGCCCTGGCCCTGCCGTGTCCTCGTGTCTGGCACCATCAGACCCAGGGTTGCGTGGCTTTGCCGGGAGGCCCGGTCCGTCCAGCCATGAGAGGCCACTGCCCCTCTGAGCGGACAGCCATGAATGTCTGGGTCCAGACTTGCTGGGGCGGTGCTCCCGGCCGAGGGCCCTCTGCCTTACCCCGCGGGGCCCCGCTAGTGTTCGAGAATGCCCAGACCCAGTTGGTGCGTCCAGCCGGGGAGGACGTCTGTCCCCACGTGCAGCCCCAGATGTGTTCTGGAGGAGACATCTGGGTGGCCCGGGGCTGCGGGGAGCAGGCCGGGTCTAGGCCACATCTCACCTCGAGTGTCGTGGTCTCCTGCTGGGGGCGGCGGGGGGGGCGTGTTTGTCCCGTCATGTACCTCGGCCTGGGGGCCTGCTTAGGAGCGAGGGGCTGCCCTGGCCAGGCCGTGGGGGGCCCTCCCCTGAGGATGAGCCCAGGAGGCTGTCCCACTGGCTCTGAGGGCCAGGCACGTGACGGGGCCTCTGTGGAGTGACCGGGATACTTCCGTCCGTGGGCTCCGTGGGCTCCGTGGGCTCCGTGGGCCGGCTGCAGAGTGCAGGATGGGCCCCGGGCGGCAGCCAGGAAGTGGTGGGCCCCGGGTGAGGCTGGGCAGTCCCATCCACCCCAGATCTGCAGGGCAGATGTCAGGCTGACCCTGCAGGGCCTGGATTCGCTGAAGGCCACCCAGGCCATCAGAGGAGGTCAGCACATGAGGTGCGGTCCTCAGGCGCTTGGCTCCCAGGGGTAGTGGCAACCTCTCCCCTCTCTCCCCGTGATCTCTCCTCCCCGACTGGGGCAGGGGTGCCCACCAGAGGGTCATCATCACGTCAGTGGAGGACACTTTGCTTTTGACCTACAGACCCCCAGGTGATGGCCGGGGGGGTCCGTGGGTCGAGCTGCCGGTCCCCTGAGGCTAGACCCACCCGGGCCGCCAGCCGGCCTGTTGTCCCGTCAGACCCTCCTTGGGGCATTTTCCCCTCTTCAAAGGACAGGACGTCCACTTCTGTCTCTGACCCCGGACGATGGAAGCGAGATGCAGTGAAGCAGAAAAGAAAACCAGACAGGGGTGAGCTTCCGTTCGACCCCAGGTCGCCCAACAGTTTTGTTTCTGAGGGAACCTAGTTTCTTCTTCCGGGAGGAAAGGCAGCATCACAGTGCGCGCCTTCAGGGGACAGGAGCTCTGTGCCTGTGACTTGGGGCGAGGCCCAGCCAAGGCTGGCCGGTCGGAGACCCTCCGCCAGGCAGGCCTGGCTTTGAAAGTAACCAGGTAGTTCCCTGCATGCACGTTCTGTTCCTGGGGTTTCTACTCTGGTGGCCGTGGGGTGTCCCATAGCCCCAGTGCCCCCCAGGCAGGGCTGGGGCGGGTGTAGGAGCGTTCAGGCGTGGGCTCTGGCTGGCCTCACCTTCATGTGCCTGTCCCCATCTGTAAAGCAGGCCACTCCATGTCGAGAAAGTGGTACCCATGGTGGGGGTGTCCCTCGTCCCCTGCTGACGGGGCCCGCGGGGTCGCCGAGCAGGCCCACCTTCAGGGAGCTGACATCAGGGTCGGGCAGTGGTTCCTTTTACATCCCCCAAGCTCTGCCCATGCCCCCGTCCAGGCCACTGGGTGTGGGTCCACCCTTGGGGCCCTCCAGAGAGGCCATGGGGCACTTCCGTAGGAATCTCGGGGTCCAAGGGGTCCGACTGGAAGCCTCCCAGGAGCGCTCAGATTGGGGGTGGCTCCAGGAACTGCCTTCAGCCTCCACTCACCACCCAACTACCACCCCCTGGGGACCTTCTGAAGTGGGGTCCATACCCCTGACCTGGTCAGGAACGGCGGGTTCACACGGGTTTGTAAGAATTAACATTTCCAAATCACCGTGGCACCATGTTCTGCTAAGGCCCCGTCTTCTTTTTTTTTTTTTTTTAAAGATTTTATTTATTTGATAGAGAGAGATCACAAGTAGGCAGAGAGGCAGGCAGAGAGAGAGAGAGAGGAGGAAGCAGGCTCCCTGCCTAGCAGACAGCACAATGCGGGACTCGATCCCAGGACCCTGAGATCATGACCTGAGCTGAAGGCAGAGGCTTAACCCACTGAGCCATCCAGGCGCCCCAAGGCCCCGTCTTCTGAGACACACGTGGAACCGCGTCCATCTCTACCCCAGGGAGCAGGGGGACAGATGTCCCGTCGGGCATGGGCTCCCAGGGGAGTCTGCCCCCGAGAGTTTGTTGGGGGCATTAGTGCAAAGGGTGCTGGACCGCAAGGGGAGAAGGGGCAGCTTTCCAGGTCTCACTCACAGGGCCGGGTGCTGGGCACCTCGTGGGCCTCCCCATCCCAGCCCCGCATGGCACCGCCGTCCGCACCGAGTGTGAGTAACGGGGCTCTCCGGTCCCGGGCGATCGCACCACATTTTCTGCGCTCTTCCGAAGCCCAGAGAGTTAAAGGCAAGCGGGAGACCCGGGCCCAGGCTGCTGCGCGGTCCACAGCACCTCCCTGCTCTCGGCCTGCTCACCTCGGGGACCCTCCCCATGGTTTGGGACACGAGCTGCCACCAGGCCTGTTTGTGCCCTCATGAGCGTGAGGTTCCTGGTGTTTCCCGAGTTTACTGGGGACACCGGTTGTTAGCCTCAGAGGCTGGTTCTGTGATTTTAAAGCCCCCCACCCCGGGGAGAGAGAAGAGAGTAATTAAACGTGTTCTCGCGGAAACCGCCAGAGCCAAAGGATCCGTCACCGCGCACTCGGGCGGGATAAAGAACGGGTGTTTTTCAAAGGAGGTGCCCCTTCGTGTAGACTAACAGCGGTCGCTGTGGATTCACAGCACTCGTAAGAACAAACGCAGAGAGGGGCAGGGAGCCCTGTGGCCCCAGGCACGGCAGCCGATACCCCGACAAGGACACAGGTTGGGATAACTGGCACGGCGACACCCCCAGGTGCGGGCCTGTGTATGTAGCTCTACAAACTGGGGAGGCCCGTGCGGCCCACCCCACGGCCACGAGGCAGGATCGTGGGGGCCGCAGACCCAGAGATGCCTCCCTGCAGCCCCCCCCCCCATGATCACCCGTCTTTGTTGGGCCCCAGGGCCACCCTCAATGTGCCGTCCTCCCTTCAGGAGTCCTCCCTCAACTTCCTCCTCCCAGAGCTGCCCTGGGCCCAGCTCTGTGGGGATGCGGGGGCTCCATCATCCCCATGGTTTCTAGGAGCAAGCTCAGAGAAGTGGCCAGAAGCCACTGGTGCCCACTTGGATGTGGCTGAGGCGCTGGCCGGCAGCCCCCTCCCTCGGTGTGCCTCCCCATGTCCGAGGAGCCGGTGAGCCCGGTGGGATGGGCCTGTAGAGGCCGGGCCGGTGGCTCTCTGGGCGTGAGGAACTGGAGCTTGGGGGCTTGGGGACCTGGGCATAAGGGCAGGCGGTGGTGTGAAAGCACAGCCCATGGGCTGGGGCAGGCCGTGTCAGGTCCAGAGGCAAAGAGGGGGCTTTCCGGAGGGCAGGGAGCCCAAGGAGAGTGGCCCAAGGCCCTGGGGCAGAGCTAGTCCTGGACAGGGCGCAGGCAGGGCTCTCCGTTGTCCCTCGCCGGGCGGATGGGCAGTGTCACCGTTCCCAAGGTGACAGTGATGTCACAGGCCGGCATCAGGATGCCCCCATGAGGTTCTTTTGGGGCAGCACAGGGCCCTGAGCACCATCCCTCTGGTCAAGGGAGGAAGGGCAAAGTGGCCCCGGTTCCTTGGCTCCCAAGCCGTGCATGGAGGCTTTTGCTTCTCAGGGGTGTCCACACAGAGGTCAGACATGCTCCCTGACAGAGCCGCCCCCCACACTCCCCCACCGGACCCTGGCCCCACCGACCCCCAACCGGCACAGTGCCCCTGCCAGATGCACCCGTGGGTTTCAGGCCTTCTCCTGGGGACACAGGACAGAAGGGACTGGAGCCAACCACACACAGACCCAGAGGAAGTCCCTCCGCCCCCGCCAGCCCAGGGCAGGGCTCCAGCGTCCTCCCCGCCCCACCCACCCCGTGTAAGAGCAGGAGGAGCTGCGGCTTCCGGGGCTGGTGGTCTTCACGCGGCTGATCGATGCCCCCCGGATGCTAAGGGGAGGGGACAGCCTGGGAGGGACAGGCTGGCTGCATATGGTCCTGACTGGGGCCGTCTCTCTCGTCCTTCTCTCTCCAGAAACCAACATCCACGCTGCTGCTTTGATGTTTAGATGGGGGGGTGCTTCCGATCCGGGGTTCTTCGCTACCATTAGGACAGGAGGGGGACACAGCTCCCACTGGGGCTGGAAGAGACCGAGCCCTAAACTCAGGGTTCGGGGTGGGACCCAGGGCAGGTTGGGATGGAGGACGGGCTGGCTCCCCGCTGGTGTGGTCCAGACCCAGGGAGCCGCTGGGTTTCTTCACTTCTCTGACCCGTTTCCCGAGACTGAATGTCCGGCCCGTGATCAGCTTCTGGACGGGGTTTCAGCATGACGTTCCCAAGAGCTCAGCGACCTGGTGGGGACCCCGACCTGCAGCAGGTGCCCCGTGACCACGGCTCGGGATGGCTCCGCGGGCTCACCAGCTCCAGGCTCCCTCCCCTCTCCTCCCTGCTTTTATGATTTTTTAGTAAGTCTCCCAAAAGAATTTTTCGGGAAGATGGACTCAGTCATGAACTCTTAGCCTGAAATTACCGCAAAACCCAAACAAAGGACTTCAGCTCTCCGACACGTAAACAACGCGACTGCACAGCATCTGTTTCCAAAGTCATAAAAGCTCCTGTTCTTGGCTCTGCACCCTGACTTGCGGGAGCGTGCCGGCGGTCCTGCGGGCCTGGGGGAGCTCGTGTCCACTTCCCGTCCACGCCTGCCTCGCGCAGGGCACAGGGGCTTCCGGCTGGAGCTCGGTGCTTTCGATTCGATCCCACCTCTGCAGCGGCTCGAGGGCCCTGGGAGCTGGGGACGTGTGCGGGTCTGCCCGGAAGGCTTAGGCGGCCCCGAGCAGCTCGGGGCTTTCTCCAGGCCTGGGGCTGTTAGCTGTACCTCATTTTCTCCAATGCCTGCCTCACACTGATGAGGTCTCCTCGCCCCACCTGTGAAGGAAGAACGCCCCCCCCCCCCCAACAGTGGGGGCCGAGAATGGAGACCTGGCTTCTCCGGGAGGCTTCAGGCAATCACTTAACCCCGTGCCCGCCGGGGTGGGAGGCCAGCCGTGCGCGGCCCGCCTTTAATCAGCAGGAAACACCACATTTCTCTCCTGAACTGTTGGCTCCGCCAGTAAATTAAACATGCCCTTAAAGCCTTGGTTTTCCTCCAGTAGGTGAGGAGTTTTGGGAAGTAAAATTCAAACGGGGGGAAGAAAAAAGGAGCCCAAAAGAGCCCTGAGAGGAATACGCAGAGGAGGGGGCCCCCTCCCCATTTTCTGCACTGGCAGACCCTCATTGTCCTGGGAGGCGGAGGCATCCCTCCTGCCAGGTGCATGGGAAGGGGGGCTCCCCACCGGATTCTGGGTGTGAACCTCGTGCACTCACTGCTCCCAGATCATGAGGCGGCACGTTAATGACCCCCCAGTTTGCCTTCACGCTCTGCACAGTCGCCGGAAAGGTTTTTGGGGGGCCCTTTCAAACCTCACGAGTTGGGTCTTCCTGGCAAAGGGAGCCGTAGCGGCCCTTCTGTTGCTGCATTTTTGAAAGGGACCTGCGAGTCCGTGAGACGGGAACCGTTGGCCACTTGAAACATACTGATCACTTCTGTGAAAGTGCTACGTTAAACGAGTCTTAGCCCCGGGACTTTTTTTTTTTTTTTTTTTCAAGACTTTGGTTTCTTTTGAAAGAAAACATTTTCTTACTTCTTAGCGGATCTGTTTGCCACTGGCGTGAGGACTCTGAAGTCACTTGTCCTGCACTCCAGCGTGCCCCGTCCCAGAGGACTTCTGTTCCGCAGCCACGCTGGGGGGTTGGTGAGGGGCTCCAGGCAGGGTCCCATCCCAGGGTCTCAGGCCAGTGCACAAGGGACTTAGGCAGAAAGGTCCAGGTCGGTCGGTGGCCGCCCTCTGCGGACCTCCCCAATTCTGTGGGGACAATCCATGTTCGTGTGACATTCAAGTTCGGCTTTTGAACAGACCTCTCACCGGCACCTCCCTCTCCGTCTGGAACTTTTCCTTCCCCAAAGGAGACCCCGTGCCCGATACTCAGTCGCTCCCAGGGCCCCTGCCTCCCAGGCCCCAGCAGCCACTGGCAAGAGGTCTGTCTCCTGGACGTGCCCTCTCTGGACACTTCCTGTGAACAGAGTGTGCCGCGTGGGCCTCCGTGCTGGGGCCCTTCACGGAACGTCACGTTTCCCAGGTGCTTCCATGCCACAGTGAGGGCAAGGGGGTGTCTGCACTCTGTCCCTTCTATGGCGAGCAGCCATCCACCGTGTGGACAGACATGTCTGTTTATCTGTTTGCGGATGGACACGGGCTCATCGTGCGCTTGGGGCCTCCAGACATACTGCTACAGACCCTCAACCGTCTGAGTCCCTGCTCCCCATTCCTCCGGGCAGAGCTGCTTTCCTGGCTGACCGGCCACTCCTCGCTGTCCCCATTCCTTCCTCGGCCCACAGCTCGCGGTCTCAGTGCTGCAGGCCTGGCGCACGTCCGGGGAGCAGCATCTCAGCACCAACTGTCTCCTAGGACAGACCCCAAAGAGAGGCCCACACCAGACGTCAGACCCAGAGACCTGCATCCCCATGAGCCCCACATTTGTGACCCCAGCTGGCCTCTGCCTTGACTGGCTTTAGGTCATCAGGAGCCCAGGAACCCGTCCCCAGGGCCCCTGGCCCCACCAAGACGCCGCGAACTCCCCAGGTGTTGGGCAGATTTCATGCTGATCCAAATTCTGAGTCCTCCCAGGAACCCGAGACGGGTCCCCGACCCCTCATGTTCAGGGCCAGACACAAACTGGAATGTTCTGGAAAGATGTTTTCACTACGAGCTCTAGGTTGGGTGCCCTCTGCAGTGGCCTTCCCCACTGTTCCCAGATGCACGGAGCGTGGGCAGTTCTCTTCCTCGCATTCCTAAAGCCAACGGGGCAGACAGGTCCTCGGGGGGCTGCGTGGGGCTCTCAGAGTGGCCCAACTCTGTGGGGTTTCTGAACCCCGCTTCCCCATGTCCCTGGAGCATGGAGCAAAGGGGATGTCTCCTGGGTGGGGGGTGGCGGTCGGCGCCCTCAGTCCCCATCCTGCCCCGTGTCCCAGATGGTCCCTGCGGGTCACGCACGGGGGAGGGCGAGCCACAGAGCTTGACGCTGCCTTGTCTCCTTCAGGTGACGGCGACATTGTAAATAACATGCATGAGCCCGACCCGGACCTGCTGGCCGGCGAGAGCGCGGAATACGAGACGGAGGACAGCGTGGTGTCCCCCATCCCCATGGGGCCGCCGTCCCCCTTCCCCACCAGCGAGGACTTCACCCCCAAGGAGGGCTCACCGTACGAAGCCCCCGTCTACATTCCCGAGGACATCCCCATCCCGCCAGACTTTGAGCTCCGAGAGTCCTCCGTCCCAGGGGCCGGCCTGGGGATCTGGGCCAAGAAGAGGATGGAAATCGGGGCGAGGTTTGGCCCTTACATGGGGGCACCCCGGGCCACGTGGAAGGAGGCGGACTTTGGATGGGAGGTGAGCATTCCCGTGTGAGCGTGATTGATCACGGCCGTTTATCTTGTGGTCCGTCTATTTATAAAGCTGGGCCGAGCAGGGCTGCCCGAGGCAGGAGGCTCGCTCGGAGGAGCGCTCGAATGTCACGTTTCCCAGGCTTATTTGGTCCTGCAGCTTGTATGACGCGACTCGGCAAACATCAGCGGTCCTCGTGGGCGCCCGTCAGCCCCCATAGGCTCGGGCTGCTCTCTTCCTGGAAATGTGTCTTTAATGAGCTCATGTCTTAAAACACCCGTGCTCCCCGTCTGGGTCTTAGGTGCTCAGACTGTAGTCTGCAGGACCGCGCAGATTAATGGAATGTCCCAGAACCGGAGTCTCTACTCTGGGGAACGCTCCTGCAGGTGGGGGGGCTCCTGTAGAACACGCCCGGTGGCCCCCTGCCCCCCCGGGCCCCAGTCAGCCAGCTCTCTAAGAGGAACCCCCCTTCCCAGAAGCAGGACAACGAGTCTCCTGCTGCCCAGGCAGGCCTCCTGTGGCTGAGAGCTCCCTGACAGCCGGGCCTGGGGGACGGTTCTGGAGCCTGTGTGCGGTCAGGAGAGGGGGCCTGTTAGATGAGGGGTGCCGTCGTCCCCAGAAGCATCCCTTGAGGGCTTGGGGGTCTTGTGAGTGGTCGTCGTGGGGACCACAGGCCCCATGAAGTGCTCTCCCCGCCGGCCTGGGCGGTTCTGCCAGCCTCACACAGCCAGTGCTCGCTGGTGTTTCTGGCAGATGCCCTGCCTGGGCGGAAAAGGCACAAACCCAGATTCCTCCCAGGGGTTTCGCAGCTTCCAAAAGCACTTGCTGGAGGTCGGCTCTAGGAAAGGACTAGGAAGAGTCCACGGAGGGAAGAGGGCCCGGTGTGGCGAGCGGGTGTGGCCCGTGGTGGCACACGGGGTGTGGACGCCGGGGACAGGGGGCACCCGCCGAAAGTCCAGGGTTTTGAAGGTTTAGATGAGAAGCGGCTTGACCATATGGATGAAGGGACGGGACGGCCACAAGCCCCAGGGGTGAAGGCCAGTGCATCCCCTGCTGTCTGGAGGCGGCAGACAGGTGTGTGGCGCTCAAGGTCGGGCTCCCCTTCAGAGCAGACCAGCCAGGGGCCCGGGAGCAGGGTGTGGTAGGTAACGAGGGAGTTGGAGATCCCATGTCTCTGTGGGCGTGTGGCTCTTTCGCCGCTCCTGGGGTCGCCCCTTGGGGTACAAGGAGACATTTGCAGACTCGGCCTGGCCTGTCCTGCCCATCCAGCTGCTTGGGAGCAGGGTTCCAGGTGTTTGTCGGAGAGCCTCGGAGAGACGTGCCCTGCTTAACCAGCAGGCGGCCTGTGGAGGGCACAGGGCACCTGAACCCCGCAGGGAGTGCTCTGGGTGACCTTGAAGCCACTTTGCCCTTGTCTGCTCTGGTACAAGTTTCTGTTTGCTCTTTTGCTAATGAAACGGCCCGTATCGCTTCTGCTCGCTCGGTGCGTGGCCTGGTACCGCTGTCGCTAGGGTCTGCCCGGTGCCTGTTGACTTTCACTTTGTTCCCTGCGGGAGGGAGCCTTCTCCTGCCGCCCGGCCACAGCCGGCTTTGTTCCGCGGTCGTGCCCCGGCTGCCGCCTTTCATGCCGGCACTTAGGACTATTTGCCCACAAGCCCACGTCCTCAGACAGTGTTCCCGATGCGCCCCAACGCTATCTCAGCTGACCTTGTTTTCCTTGCGAGCTCGGCGCCAGCGACCGGCCTCTGGGATCCGCCCGGGGCTTTGTGGCCTTCCGTCACGCGGGGTCCCAGCAGCCGTGTGGGTTGCCCTGGCGACCGAGGACCGATGGCGGAATTTTCGGGAACCCTCCGCCTCCCCAGACGCAGGAGAGAGGGGAGGAGGCAGGCACCCCGAAAACTCAGAGCAGACCCACTCATGCCTGAAAAAAATAGGTCCAGGCGGTTTCTTCTGGACCCCCCGGACCTCAGTTTGGGTCTTTGGGGCGGGAAAACCAACCGTCATCCCTCGTGAGGGAGCGTCCTGATGGATTTCCCATGTGTTCCCACGTGACTGTGGTTTCCCGTTGTTTTGTGCCTTCCTCCGTCGGACCGGTGGCTCAGCTGCCCCTTCAGTGAGGCCCTGTCCTTCCTTTGCAAACAGGGCCTGAGCCTGGGGCGGGGGAGTCCTGGGTCTTTCTGTGACTCTAGACAGGAAAGAGGCCTCCGGGGAGCCCCGAGTCATGAATGCTAACAAGGCACTCTGACTGCGCAGACGCCGGGGCTGCCGTCCCGTGGAGAGGCCCCCTGCGCTCATGGTGCACTCGCAAGGCACTGGGATGTGGAGAACCTTGGGCTGAAGTGTCGCATCAGCAGGGGACGGGCCCAGGACCGTCGGAGGCGGGGCCCAGGGACAGCGCGGGAGCACATACCATCTTGGGACACACCGCGCGTCGGATGTCTAACTGCTCACACTCACACTGCTCATTAAGCATAAATCGGGGCTATTTGATTTCACCGCAGTTGACAGAGTGTTCATTTACTGAGCAAGAACGGTGATGACACGTTAGCAAAGATGGCAGAGGAGACCCGTGGAGAGCCAGGGACGGTCTGCACCCCGAGGGCGGACGGCGGCGGGTCCGTGGCCAGGAGCTCAGGAGCGCGGCTTCTCCTGGAGGGCTGGGTCTGGGGGTGCAGCATGGGACGGAGAAGCCAGACGCTGGTTTAAAATCAATGTCGAATGGACTGTTCTTACCGTCACTGGGGGACACCACGGAAACAATTTTCTTTCTACCCTGGGAGCAAAATTCTTGCTCTGGACCATTCTGGAAAACGGTCCTGTTTTCTCTTCTCGTTTCGTAGTGTAGTTTGCTCATCGTGTGTCTTTCCCACCGTCCGCACGCGGCTTCTCCCTCCCACATGTGCGTCAGACAGTGTGTGACCTGAACCTCCCTTCTCCTCCGGGCTTCGCGGCACCCCAGGAGGTGACTCCCACATCAGGCGGGTCCCCTGCGCCCCAGACCTGGCCAGCCCCATGGCTACGGGGGAGTGTGGGCTGTGAGCACGTGGCCCCCCAGGACCCATCTCAGAGGGCGGCAGTCTGTGCCCTGCCTGGGAAGATCCCCGAGCTCCTGGCCCCTCTCTGCCCAGACGCAGCCTCCAGGCCGACGCAGCCACCACTCTCTCTGCCCAGAATAAATCACCCCGTGATTGCATTTGATTGCCTCAGGGTTTGAAAAAACAATGATTTCGATCATTTGTTGAGTAAATCATGACATTTTTCATCGTGCTGCTTATTTTGCTAATTAAGAGCGGGCTCCTCCGCCACGCCAGCTGCCTGGGCTCCGTGCTGCGACAGCAGGCAACACCGTGCGGGACCCGGCGAGGAGGAGCCTTTTCGAGCCAACAGCGCCCGCATTCAGTGTGCATCCTCCTCGAGGGCGCGTCTGCCCCGGAGAGCCGGCTGAGGGCAGCTTCTCCGGTGCCCAGAGCGCGGCCTGGCCTGGACCGGGCGTTCTGATATCGGCTGCTGAGCAAATGGTCGGCCTCTGTTTGAGAGGCTGCTGGAAAACGTTCACGTGACTCGATGGGGTTTCATTTATCTGCAGAGTTCACTCAAGTAGATGACCTCATCCCTTGGCTTTCGTGTCTGAATAATAATGTGTGTGTTCGTTTGTTCAATCAACAAACGGGCTGTGTCTGGGCCAGGCCATAGGGGAAGGTCTGGGGTCACAGGTGGGATCAGCCCCGAGGCCTCAGGCTGCCGTGACTGCTGCTGTTCTATTGCAGAGCCCCAAGACCCCTCCTCCAGAAACCCCCAGCCCCCCACGGACGCCGGGCTGCCGGGACACCCAGAGACGCCAGGCTAGCTACCGCCCAGCCCTGCACTCTTGGATGCTGAGAAACTTCTGTACATTTAAGGGTACGTTATGGTCCAGAACACACACCCTTGGAGACAGGCCTGGGGCTCCGAGGAAGCTGCCTCTCTGTCCGTCCAGGCTTGTCCACCGACATGCATTTTAGAAAAGCAACGCTTTCTTTTCCGAGGTGGCCGCTGGGCATCCTCCACATGAGAAGTCTGGAGGCTGACTGTGGCCCAGAGTGCAGGCTGGCGATGAAGCTGGGTGCGCCGGGCTGTCCACGGTGGCGGCCGTCCAGCCTCTCACGTCGCCAGGATGGAGTCTCTCCAAGGCGCTAGGGATACACACAGAGCAGAGAACTAGTTTCTCCCAGGACTCGGGAAGCTCCCCCTGGCCGTCCAGGCTGGAGGCCAGGAGTCCTGGGGTCCCCGACCTCCGCACCCTGGCTTCTCACTCATCCAGCCGGGTGTGCTGGGACGTCACACAGACCCTCGAGGGCTGCGGCCCCTGACCTGAGGCCTCCTCTTCCTCCTCAGATCCAGGGTCTCTGCGGGAACCTCTTTTTCTTCTCCTCCTCTGGCACCCCCTCGCCTCAGACACCTTCACCTCATTGCTCCACACCCAGCTAACTAACCCAGACCTGCCCCCGCGTGGTCACGTGTGGGTGTGCATGTGCACCCCCCACACCTGCATACGCGCACACACAGAGATACACACGCGCACACACGTGTGCACGCACACATATGCACACGCGCACACGCACACGAGGGCCTGCATATGTGCACCTTCACAAGACACGCATGTACAATGCACACACGTGTTCAAGGTCACACACGTGTGCACACGCACACACCTGTATGCACAGACACACAGATTCATACGCACATGTGCACACACGTGTACACACACGAACACACACGTGCCTGCACATACGCACACACACGCGCGTGCGCACATGCACACACACCTTTGGATCTTGCTGAAAACCCTAGACTGGGCTTCCGGCCTCCGCGGGCAGGGGTGCGCCGTCCGCCCCGCCTGGAGTCGGCAGCTCTGGCAGGCAGAGGGTCTCCAGAAACCGCCACCCCGTCGCCCAGCGCGCTCAGTCTGTGGGGCTCCAGAGAGGCGTGGGAGGTGACACTGACCGTGGGTCGCTGAGGGCATGTAG